GAATGCACTGCCCATCCCAGGTGGGAGGGGCAAATGGCAAACAGCCCAACTCCGTCCTTCTGAGATGCCTCTTAGGGCTGGGAGGTGGGATGAAGGAGTCTTCTGTTGAACAAAACATTGAGTACCAGAGGCATAAAGAAGAGATGCTCCCACAAATACCCCCATCCTCTACTCCTGCCCCCAAGCACACTGCTCCTCCTCAAAGCTTCAGCCCGAGTTTGGCCACCAGATTCTGCCTAGAGCACCGTGGGCCTCTCACATGTTCCTGTTTGGGGGCTAGCCAGGACTGTGCCTAATCTGGATTGGAGATGGCAGATGGTGCCCCCGTTGATGGGTAGTTGACAGCCTGGGGGGGGGGTGTTGGCATGGTGAAGGGGAAGGAAAAGCAGTGACGACTGTGTGATGTCTGCCACGAGCGTGTGTGCCAGGTATTTGCTGTTCCTCACTCTGGGGTCACCCTCCCCGCAGGCCTCTGTTGCTGTCTAGGCTGGCATTTCTTTCACAGAGCACAGGACCCACCAAAGAAACAGCCTTGTGTTCCTTCCTTCTGTCCACTCTTCCATCTGTCCGGTACTTACTGGGACTTGCCCAATGCCAGTGTCTGTTGGAATAGGAATAAGCCACGGCCTGCCCCACACAGGTTGCTCATGGTCAGGAGAGTGTTGTCCTAAGGGCCGTGTGGAAGGGGACACCGAGCCCTGGGAGCTGCTGTCTGCTGGGGGAGCCAGGGCAGGCTTTGGACAGGCGGGACCTTCAGCTAGACCTTACAGTGTAAGAAGGGATGAGCTTGGTGGCGAGGGTGGAAGACCAGGGCAGCCTCCGTGAGTGGGGCGCGGGCTCACGGGGACGGCTGGGAGCTGAGGACAGGAGGCCAGCATGGGGCTAGTTGCAGTACGCCTGTGGGGCCAGGTCTACAAGTTGCAACGTGATCCTGAAAGCAGCAAAGATCCACAGGAGGTTTCAAACAGAAGAGTGGGGATGACAGGAGCATCGGTGCTGGGGAACATACCACGTAGGGGGTTCAGTGCTCTTGTTGCACTTGAGGAAATAGCACCAGCGGGGGTGGGGTGAGGGTCCTGAAGAGGGGAAGAGTCTACACCAGTTCTTCTCAGACTTTTCTGTGCCTTAAAATCACGGGGGACCTTGTTCAAAGGAGATTTGGATTCAGTAGGGCTGAGGCGAGGCCGTGATTCTGCATTTCCAGCAAGCTCTGTGGCGACGCCGATACTGCTGGACCACACACCACACACTGAACAGCCACGCTGGAGGACAGCCTCTTGTTGACCTAGAAGGGATGGCTCCGAAGACAGCACCCCTCGGCCCCACCGGTCGTCCACCTCCACACAGTGCCTTATTCTTTCCCAAGCCTGCACACATTTGCCACTTTGTTAGAGTCTCAGGCCGGTGAGACGGATCAGCAAGGTGGAGGCTCTGCTCCTCACTTTATAGGTTAGGAAATGAGTACACAGAGGGAGAGCCAGGTCACCTGACCCAGAGCCAGCTCATCCTTGGCACAGCCTGTGGGGATCACTTGGGGAGCTCCCTGCCTGGCATGTGGCAGAGCTGATCCTGTTTGGGATATGGAAGGGGCCACAAGGAGAAAGGGGCTTTCCAGGGACCCTTGCTGGCCAAATAGGACATAGACCCAGCCCTCTCCACTGAAGATCTTTTATTGTTTTTCTCTTAATGAGTCCCACATTTGGGTTTGTCCTCTACACTGTCTTTCTCCATTGTTCCTTAATCAGTGGCTTCTGTAACTGTCCACCAGAACTTCTGATGAAGAAACCACCAGTTTTCAGCCTAACTTGATTCCAGCCAAAAGCAGAGACTCCCATGGAGTATTCCCCAGGCTGTGGCTCCATGGAGATAAGTCATTCTGGGCTAAAAAGAGCTCTATAGTCAAATACACTTGGAATGTGGTAGATTCTATCTGCATGTTATAGTCCACCTGGGAAGTTCAGGATGCACATCAGCACATTAAAGGCTGTGAAAGTTTTGTTTTGAAGATCCTCCTTAACTGGATTTTCCATGTGTATTTGACCACAACCCTTTGCTGGAGAACACTTAGAGTCCACAGAACACTGAGGCAATGCTGAATCAGGTACTTCAGTTAATAAGGTGGTTAGTTAATGTCCTACCTCTGCTAAGTTTTTGGAATAGCTGAGGTACTGCATTAGTTCCTCCAAGGGTCTTTAGGTGTTGCTTGCTGGAAAGGTAATGAACAGAGTGCTAGGCTGGGCAGGGGTAGGGGAGGGGGAAGAGGTTACTTTAGCTAGGGTGGCAAGGGACAACCTTTCTGAGGAGGTAAGACCTACATTCAGACCTGAATGAAAAGAAGTGACGACCTATGAGCAGGTCTGAGGGAAAGCATTCCAGGAAGAGGTGACAGCAAGTGCAAGGGCCCTGAAGCAGGACCAAAGTAGGCTTCCTCCGATGCCAAGGCTGTTCCTGGGGGCCTGAGGTCACAGGGCACAGGGCTAAGAACTCTGGATAGACTACCCCGGAGTAGGTCGGGCAAAGCAGCCTTTCTCAGTGGGAGCAGAGCATCACTGATTCAGGGGAAAGGAAAACAGCAATGAAACCTCTGTCCTGTCTCTACCTGCAGGGCATCTGAGGAGGCTTTCGTGAAGGAATCCAAGGAGGAGACGCCAGGCACAGAGTGGGAGAAGGTAGCTCAGCTGTGTGACTTCAACCCCAAGAGCAGCAAGCAGTGCAAAGACGTGTCCCGCCTGCGCTCGGTGCTCATGTCCCTGAAGCAGACGCCACTGTCCCGCTAGGTGCCTGTCACAAGCATGGCCACAAAGCGTGGGCTGGGCCTGGGCACAGGAGGAGCCGCTGCTTTGGCCAGGATTGGGGCACAGTGCCTCCAGCAGCTGCTACCCACAGCCTGTTCTGTTCCTCCCCATCTCCTGGGGCTGGGAAGAGGAACCCTCCCCCGTCACCCCATTCCCTCCTGGCCCTGTGGCCCAGCCCCTCACACCTCCTCTCGGTCCACAAAATTGTGACTGTCCCTCCTGATGTATTTTTTTTTCTTGGCTTAAAGGGTGTGTTGTTAACTCTTTTTACACTTATTTATTATCATTCTCATTTCTCTGGAAGCCATAACTGGTGTCAGGGCTCAGTTTGTGCTTAGAATTTTCTCAGCTTCGTGGCCTTGGGAGAAGGTGAGGCTATCCTCCTGGAAACCGTCCCAGCTGGAAGGAGGTGTCCCAACCTGTGTATGTCTGCTGCCCCCCTCTCCAGGAGGAAAGACAATCTCTAATGGAATGCTTTTGCAACCCTGATCCTTTCTGATCCTTCAATAAGCCTGTGATATAAGGATTCTGTTGTTGTCGTCATATAGCCATGGACACCAAGGCTCCCAGAGAGTAAGTAAGAAGCTTTAAGTGGGAGAGAAGAGGCAAGACCAGGGGTTCCCAATGGTAGCTCCCTCTAAGTCCGGGTCGAGGCTGGTGAAGGTAGCTGCTGCCAGACTCCTTTCCTTGGGTTTGGCCAGTACCCTCTGGATGTGGAAGGCTCACTGCTCTCCCTCCTTCAGCTGTCCCCCACCCTGTAGATTTGGGATACATACTCAGTGACCACACCTTCATCTTATTCAGCAGAGGTTGCAAACAGGCTGTGTTTAAGCCACTGTGACCTGCACAATGTTTAAAAAGATTTGAGTACCTGCCAACTGTCTTTATTTTCCTAGAGTTGCCATAACCAAGTACCACAGTGTCTGGCTTAGAACAACAGAAATTGATTGTCTCACCATTCTGGAGGTCTGAAGTCCGAAATCAAGGTGTCAGCAGAATCACAGTCTATCTGAAGGCACTAGGGAAGGATCTGTCGTACAGGCTTCTCTCCCAGCTTCTGGCAGCCTCAGGCATTCTTTGACTTGTAGGTGCATCACTACAATCCTGAGCTGATCTTCACATCATCTATGCATTGCCTATCTTTGCGTCCAAATTTCCCCTTTTTATAAGGACACCATCAGAATGGATTAAGGCCTACTCTAATGACCTCATTTTAACTTAATTACCACTGTAAAGACCCTATTTCCAAGTAAGATCACATTCTGAGATACTGGGTTAGGACTTCAACGTATCTTTTTTAGGAGAACACAGTAACACCAACAGCTAAAAATAGTGGCCTTCCTCTTTAGAAGTGCCATAGTCCTCACCACTTCTTATGTGCTTGAATCCATCACCACGAGGTACTGCTTTACATTATAATCTCTGCCTTACAGCTGAGAGACCATGATGGGAGCAAGAAACTTAGTGGGGCCCTTCTCATACACTCCTCCACTTAGAAAGTTAGACTGTGTTAGGGGGCCCAAAAAGTGGGTGTGTCTTCTTTACTTCCTCTTTCCTTTCTGGCAGCTTGCAGCTGGTGTTGAAATTGATGGGAGTCACACATGGAAGGAACCTGGGTCCCACCGAATCAACACTTTAGATCTGACGACAGTCCAGGAATACTTATTTGAGACTTTACACGAATGAGAAACTCAAGGTTGCCCCTTGTAGAGTTCCCTCAAGGTCCCTAGCCTCTTTTCTTCCTTAACCCTGAACACTAGGTACACAAACCAGTGGCAAGCTTTGTGACTACGCTACCACTCCACCAGGCTGCTCCTCTGAGCCTGTTTCCTGTTCTGTAAGACGCATCAAGAACCAAGCAGGGATGGTCTACATCAGTGGAGCCCTAGATGCTCTCAGGAGGTGGGAGTGGGGTGAGGAACAGAAGCAAAGTGGAGGGCAGAGCCCCCCTGCCTCCGACAGGGCCTTGGCCAGCCTCATCTCACGGAAGGTTTTCCTGTTGAAAGTTTGAAAATTGTTGGAAAGATCAGTTTTTTTCAAATAGCACCACTCTATGGAATCTCTACTTTTAACAAGTTCCCCAGGTGATTGTTACCAGAAAAGTTTGGGAATCAGACTCTTAAGATTTCTAAGGGCCCCTACAGTCTTTAGACAATCTCCTCCTAAAACCAAAGACCAAAAACCCTGGGGGGCTACACTGAGAATGAATTCACCAAACTACAAGTGGATCAGTTTATTAAGTAGGAAGTGAAGAAAGTGGGGCACAAACAGAACTATGCAACATCCAAACTGAACTGAATCTGAGATTCCTGAAAAAACATCTGTCAGTTACACAACTGGCCACTTCCTCCCCCGCTGATACAGGGGCTTGTCAGGGGAGTGGCGGGAATAAGTCAGGTAGCGGGACCAGTGGTTGCTCCTGGGGCTGGGAATGGTCTCTGCGTAACTTTCAAGGCCAGGTCTCGGACTCAGGATCGAGACTTCATAGCAGATGCAGCCAGACCCAACAAGATGGCTGCGACCGTGAAGCCCTGGGCAGCGATCCGGGTGCGCATCATAAGCTGAGAGCGGTGGCTCTGACCCCGATGGAAGCAGTAGAGGCCGTAGGTTAGGGCGGCCGCCGTGCCCAGGCAGCCTGAGGAGGGGACAAAGTAAGTGAGGAGTGGCACGTTCCGGCCCCGGAGGCCCCTCCCCGCTGTAAGCCTCCCGTACTCAAGAGTCCAGAGCTCTGAACGACGGCTGAGGGAAAGGGGGTAGAGCCTAGTGGGTGGGTTTGGTCGAGGTAGGGTCCTCTCAGTTAGAGGGCTCGCCCCACCTCAGCACCCCCAATCCCGACCAGCTCTCGCTCCAATCAGGATCACCTCTCACCGCCCGGCCCCATCGCCACAGTTCCGGTCCGCTCTCACTCCCGTCCCCCTTCGCTTTCCCGGTCCTCCCCTAACTCATTCCGTCAGACCTCACTACCCTATCCGTCTACAGTTCCTGCAACACCTGCTTACCTATGGGTACCATTGGGTTCTCGCGGGTCTTGCGAAGAAATTTTTCCTTGAAGCTTTCTTGAGTGCTGTAGATACTGGGGCTAAAGCCCTCAATGACTGGGGGCTGTGCTGGTTCAAAGGGTGCCCCGGGAGTCACAGGACCAGGAGCCGCCATGTTCCGGGGAACTGCTTTGGGAGAAAATACGGACGCTAAACTCCGCCTCCTGATGAGGTCATGGAAGGGGAGGGGAAAAGGTATTTGCTGAGCTTGTACGCAGGCGCCAACCGCTCATTGCACTCTGGGAATCGTGGTAATCTGCATGATGTCGCTATGGGGAGGACTACATTTCCCCAAATAGCCTGCAAGGCCCTCGCGCGCATCCGCCGGAAGTAGTCTGTGACACGAGGTGCTGCGAGTGCGAGCCACCCTAGTTATAGGTTGCCGGTTCGGTGGTCAAGGCAATGCCCAAGGCCAAGGGGAAGACCAGGAGACAGAAGTTCGGTTACAATGTTAACCGGAAGCGTCTGAACCGGAATGCTCGACGGAAAGCAGCGCCACGGATCGAGTGGTGAGGGGACCAGGGTTTAGGAGACAGGGGACCTCGGCTAGGGCGGCCGGCGAGATGACGGTTCCGCGATCTCTCTCTCTCTTTCCCTGTAGCTCCCACATCCGACATGCCTGGGACCACGCCAAATCCGTGCGGCAGAACCTGGCCGAGATGGGGTTGGCTATAGACCCCAACAAGGCGGTGCCCCTCCGTAAAAGAAAGGTACTGACATGGCAGGGTCCCGGCCCCTGACCCCTGTTTCCCACCACACTCAGCTGAGTTTCAGAACTTCTTCGTGTCCATTGCCACGCTCACGCTTTTCCTGGGTTTGCGACCTTCCCACAGCCAACTCCGGCAGCCTGCACTGACTGTGGTTGAAAGGCTGTTTACCACCACCCTCCTACTCCCCAGCACACAGTGGACCTGGGTTGGAGCTCCCCCCTTTTCTTCTCCACTCATTTCTTTTCCCCTCCGAAATTAACCTGTTTGGGTCCCTTGGAATCTCAATGGTATTTCCCAGAATTTATCTTTTTCTGCCCTTAACTCTCCTAATAAGGAACCCCCCCTCCCCGAGTTTGGGATTTTTACTTATTCTTCCTTACACCTTTCCCTGTCATCTAGTTATCCTTGGTCTGAGGCTTCCTTAGTTTCTCCCAAATAAGTCTTTTTCTGCACCAGGCTTTCAAAAATAGCACCTTTTTTTTTAACTCAGGAATTTCTTCCTTGCTTTAGTTCATAGCACTTGTAAATACCTGATGGTATTTTATATATTTATTTGTTTATTGTCTGTGCCTCTTTCCCTCAACATAATCTCCTTGGGGACAAGGATTTTGTGTTTTGTCCAGTGGTGCTTAGGATGTGACTAGTGCTCAATAGTTAACCTAATGAATGTCGGACTAAGATTTTATTTATTTGGTGGGGGAGGGCAGATGGAGAAGCAGACTCCCTGCTGAGTAGGGAGCCTGACATGGGGCTCCATCCCAGGACCCTGAGATCATGACCTGGGCTGAAGGCAGATGCTTAACTGACTGAGCCCCTTAGCCACCCAGGCACCCCTGTCCCATTGCTTTTAGACAAGTTTCTTTTTATCCCTTCATGCCAGGGGAAAATGGCACTACTGTTTCTTGATCAAATGTGAAGCTATAGCCAAGCACTGTCAGGTTGCTCCTTTTCATAGAGAAGATATCTGATATCTCCTCATTGTAAACTATAAAGAGCTTTCATGGGCATTGTTTCACTTGATTAGCACACATGGGGTGAGGTAGGCAAGGAGTATTATGCCCATTTTATAGATAGGCACAGATAGATGAATTGCTTCCTTGAGTCCCTTTTGGAAACTGTAAAGCCTCCGGGGCATTGGTTCTCTCTGTCATCTATTCCTGCCTGCATATGTGTAGGGATTCTCATGGGTAATGCAGTTGTGTTGGGATGGGCAGGACCCTCTAGAATTTTCCCTCATCCAGGATCCTTCCTTTGTCTTCTGGTCTCATACGCTCTGTTCTCTGCAGGTGAAGGCCATGGAGGTGGACGTAGAGGAGAGGCCTAAGGAGCTTGTGCGGAAGCCCTATGTGCTAAATGGTGGGTGCTGGCCACATTCCTCTAGGTCACCATCCTGCACAGTCAGGGCTAGAAAGGGCCCTCAGATGTCTTCATTTTACAGATGGAAAAAACAGGCTCAGAGGGAAGAAGGGAGCTGGTCTGGGGCTCACAAGGTTAAGACTGTGTCTCTGACTGGGACACTTTCAGTCTACTTACTAAACTCAAGTGTTTGAAGTAAGGTCAGAGATGTTCAGGGAGGATGCAGCCAGGCGCTTGAGAGAATAGAAATGAAACCAGTGAGACTCAGGCACATGGTCAGCTTGTCATGAATTTAAGGATGAACGGATTTTTATAGAGATTCCATCATCTCATGTAATCTTTTCAGTGACAAATCAATTTCATGTGTATTAATGCTATAGAGACTGAATTATTAAAACACAGCAAATTCTGCAGGGAAGCAGGAATACTCTGAAATTCCCCACCCATCTTCTCTTACCTGTCCAAGATGTTTAGTGGTTCTCCTGAAGTTAAAAGGGTTTTAAATGGCCAGACATTTGATAGAGAATTCCTCGAGTTCCTATCAGTGATTCTCATAAGAATTACTACTCAGGATTGCATAAATAAAGTAAGGTGTACTTATTGTCAAATTTTTAAACTTTGTCATTCTTGAAAGAATTTTTAAAAATTGTGGTAAAAAACATATCACATAAAGTTTACTATCTTAATCATTTTTAACTATATAGCTCAGTAGTGTTAAGTATGTTTAGGTTGTCATGCATTAGATGTCCAGAACTTTTTCATCTTCAAAAGTGGAACTCTACCCATTAAACAACTCCCCATTTCCCTGCCTCCCCACCCCCAGCCCCTGGCCACCAAGTCAAAGATAATTTTGACAATAAGCAATTTAGCACTTAACCCCTGGATAACATTTGACCACCTTGTTTCCATGAGCTGTTTTTCTCCTAGTTGAGAAATGGGGACTATTTGCCTAGGTGTTTAATTTAATTAATTAATTTTAAAGATTTATTTATTCCAGAGAGCAAGGGAGAGAGCGATAGTGGGGGCAGGAGCAGAGGGAGAAGGACAAGCAGACTCCACACTCAGGGCGGATTCTGACACGGGGCTCGATCTCATGACCCATGAGATGATGACTTGAGCCGAAACCAAGAAGTCGGATGTCTAACTGACTGAGCCACCCAGGCGCCCCTAGCTATTTTAACAGTGAAGCCATGATTGGCTCCACAGCTTCGCTTTTGCCCTCACCTGGAGCAGTGAGGCACTGGGGCCCAGCCTCAGGCCCTGGTTCCTGTAGCATTCATTCTCATTCATACCTTTGCATTTCACGTTATTATTGCAACATTTCAAGAAAAGAAATTCTCAGGGAGTTTTAGAGATGGAAGGGAGTCCCGACCTGTGGTAGGCAATGTGTCTTCCTCTCTGTCCCCAGGACCCGGTACTAAGTAGAGATTAGTAGTTTGGTGCCTACCCTTTACCCAGCTGAGACCCAAAGAGAGATGGCTTACCTTTTAGGTAGTTGCCACACCCATAGGTGATTGTGTCATGGCCTGGGACCCCAGGGACTGAAGAGCACTGCGTTTGGGGATGGAGAGGCAGAGCCCATCTCATGGCCATGGTTTGGGATGGGGTAAAAGGATGACTGGGCAACTCAGAAAATGCAAGAGGCAAAACCTCATTTTCTGTGTCCTGGTTTCTCTCACCCCAGACCTGGAGGCAGAAGCTAGCCTTCCAGAAAAGAAAGGAAACACGCTGTCTCGAGACCTCATTGACTATGTGCACTACATGGTGGAGAATCATGGGGAGGACTATAAGGTGAGTGGTTTGGGCCTGGCAGGAAGAACCACTTGGGTCTATTGGGAAGGCACCCTTGACCATTTGGGGTCTGATCCGCTTGTCTCTTGCCTGAGGTGAGGAACCTGGACTTCAGGGATACGAAGTGGTTTGCCCAACTCAGGCAGTACTAGGACTTGAACCTTTGTCTCTGTCCAGCCCTCCTCAAGTGGCCTTTCTCCCTTCTTAGGCTATGGCCCGGGATGAGAAGAATTACTATCAAGATACCCCGAAACAGATTCGGAATAAGATCAATGTCTATAAGCGTTTTTACCCAGCGGAGTGGCAAACCTTCATTGATTCTTTGCAGAAGATTAAGATGGATGTTGAATGATTGGCTTATGCCTGCCTCAGGCCTCAGCCTCCTGGACCAGAGAAGCTCCTTAAGGCAAAGAGGGGCATGTGGCCAGATGGGGCTGGCCAAACCCCATGGAATCAGAAGGTTGCACACACACACTCACACTCCCCTTTCTGGGGAAGGAACTGTCTCCAAGAGGCTTCTGAGGGCCCTGAGAAAAGCCAGAACCTACTGTTTTCAGAGTGGGTGGTTTGTTTACATATAGTCTGTACATAATAAAACAAGATTATTTTACTTCTCTGGTGGTTGTGTGTTCGTTCCCCTTGCAACCAAGCCCTGGGACTGCCCCTGTGAAAACCCACTCGGCTGGGGCAGAGAAGCCATCCAGCCCCTTATGTGCCCCATTCCCACCCCCCCTTAAGTGTGGCCTCCTTCCTCTTGTCCTGTGTTCTGGTTCCATCGCTCTGCCTTGGTTTCCTGCACAGCATTAACCCTTGTCCAGAAGCCTGCTGCTAACCCTGCGCTGCTTGGGAGGGGTCTGTCTCACCAACGCTAGCCCCCCTCCTAGGCTGGAGGCGAGAATATTGGCTCGAGGGCCAGAGGGTAAGTAGCTGTACTGCCGCCTCCTTATGACACCTTCGCTGCTCATCTTCCGATTGCTTGCCCTTAAAGGAACCCGAGGCCCCCAAATCTGCTGAGACTGTTGGACTGAATAGCACTCGACTGTGTGCCACAGTGTGGCCATTCTCTGGGGCAGGCCTACCTAATTTGGTGATGTGGGGTGATGACTCACATAGCAGGATCACAGGCACATTGTGGGGTGGGCACTGGGCATTTTCTGCTTTTGATACTTTATCTTCAGCTATTATAATACAAAACCCCTCTCATTCCTAATGCTTCCCCTAGAAGGGCCCCTCACATCTGTTTCTTCTTACTGCTCTTAAAAATGACTTGGTGTTTTTACATAGATCACTTCACATAAAACCCTGTAAGGTATGTGGCTTTATTGTTTTACAGGTAAGGAAACAGGCTTGAGAGGCCAGTGTGACGTTTGAAGTCAGTCCAACAGCTAAGCCTGGACTTTCACTATCTTCCCCTTCAGCTCTTGAAGGCAGCCCATCAGTCCCATACTATCAGGGCAAGCTGAAAACGGGACAGGGTCCCAGAAACCCCTCCTATGGGACCCAGCTGGCTTAGCCCCCAGCAGTGACTGGCCCTTGTAAGCAGTGTGCACACAGCCTTTGGAATCTAGACTGAAGCTGGGGACTTCTTTTCTTTCAAGTAGGCTCCATGCCCAATGTGGGGCTTGAACTCATGACCGTGAGATAAAGAGTTACATGCTCTACAGACTGAGCCAGCCAGGCGCCCCACTAGTGAGGGTTTTTATTTGGCCTCATAACAACCTCCACAGCATTCGAAATTCAGGCCTTGACAGCTGTCCCCTTTTTTCTTTACCCAATTCAGGTGCCAATTTTGGGAAGCTTTTCCTGCCACTGTCCCCCATCCTTAGGCTGTGTAAGTCTCCTGTCATCCCTACATCCCAGACTTCCTGTAGCAATACATACCAGTCATAACTGCCTTGTAATCTGCTTGACATCCCCTGCCAGACTGGGCTTGAGTGCAGGCACCTTCCCTGGGACTCCAGAGCTGAGCCCAAGGCAGGTGCTGGGGGAATGCTCCATTCTGACTTCTGGTCCTGTCAGCTAGAACTCCCAAGGAATGGCAGCCAGGTTTGGATACTTCCCAAAAGGTATGAAGTTAGGCCAAAGCCCAAGTTCCTTACCACTTCCATGTGGGCTGAAGGGCCAGAGGACTGGGACTTGCTGTTGACAAATGATTGTGTCACTGGAAGTATTCTGGGATCACCCTCCATACCTGCCCCTCACTAGAGAACTGTGAGCACCCAGCATATACTCCTCAAAATCACAATTCAAACGAAACCATATCCGAGTTTTGGGCATTTATTGTGTGCCTCAAATAGCCACTGGCTCTCCCTTATGTAGTTTGTCCTTGGCAACCCTGTGGGTCTGGATTCGTCGGGCTTGGGCTGGGACAGCAAGGCCTCTTTACTTCCAGATCTCTGATGGGAATTCTCCCCTCATGGACCCACCTCACAGAGGCAGCAAATGAGGAAAGGTTGGAGGTTCTTTTCATAGCTACTAGGAAGGACTGAAGCTGTGTGAGCCAACAAACGTGACAGACGGTTCAGACTATTCCAGGTCTGAGGTGTGGGCTGGTACCACAGGTGAGCTTCAGCAGCTAGTTCAAAGTGCTGGCAGTTGCTATTAAACAAGCATAACAAAGTTTTTCCCAAGACCAGTGGGAACATTTTTTGCAGTATCTAGTGTTTCATTCAGCCAGACAGGCAAGAGTCCTCAGATTTTCATCAGTACCTCTCTGTGGAGGACTGGGAGCGCTGTGATGGACTGATTTCACCACCCAACCCCCGTCCTTATGGCTGGATACCAGTGTGTCAATGCAAGAGGTACCAAGAGGTACCCGAGGAGGCTCCTTGGGATTAGCAGCCAGTCAAGTTGGTGGTCTGGGAGCCTTTTTGCTTAGACCATCCACATGACCAAGCTTTGGGCCAAGTTGGCCTCTCCTCAGAGGGTTGACAGCAGGTGAGAGAATGGAAAATCAGAAGCCACACTGCATTAAGTAATTCTTAAGATCAGAAGCCGTCAGTGCCAGGGTAAATGATCAGGCATCGGTTCAACAGGCAAAGCAGAAGCAGAAGCTTCCCTTTGATGTGGCGTGCCCACCTGCTCTCTCAGATCCAGAGCCTGCCTTCCAGTTGCCTTCATTAGAAAAGGAGAGGGGCTGACATCTGACCCCTATGCCATGCTCAGCTAGTTTGGGAGCTGTAGTGTTGGGGCAGCCTTGGGGGGGCAGTGTCACCCAGGCTAGCTCAGAAAACTCACTTTGAGATGAACTCCAGATAATAGCTGGTTCCCAGGAGCAGGTGATCTGGGCTGGTGAATCAGAAAGTCATACTCAGGAGCAACTGGGTAAGAGCACCACAGGCCAGGCACACGGCTGTTCACAAGAGAGGCCCGTTGCTCTACTTTGCCCAGTCTAGTCCTGGCAGAAACCAGAGCGGAAGAGCGCTGTTTGGTGCTCTGCCTGGAGGACAGGACGGTAGTCCCACTAGAGCACGGTGGTCAGCCACAGATGTGATGAGGCACACCCACAGGTCAAGAGATCATCTATATTCTGCACAAGTATCAGAGGGGTGGTACTCTGGACCTTCAGCAACCCCCCTCCCCAGGGGTGTGCGTCTGCTGGTGTACCACTGGGACCTGTGAGTTCTGGGAGTGGTCTTCAGAAGTTGCTCAAGTAGGTATAGTTATTATAAAACTATTCAAGTTCACTCCCCTCACTGGGGACTTTGAAAATTGTATTACATAATGATACTCATTAGACCAAAGGCAGATCTTAATTAGAAAAGGGTACCCTACAACAATGCTGGTTCCAGAGGTAAATGTCAAGCACTAGAGAACAAGGTGGGGTTTACAGAACAAAGAAGTGAAGTTTCACAATCTTTCAATGTCAAAATGAAAAGCTGTCTGCAAAATTTCAAAGGCTACTCTAAAAGCCAAGTCATTCCTTAAATATTTAAAATAAAAGCAGACAAATCTTTCTTCGGCAGGAAGTTAATTAGAATTTCAAAGAACAGTGATTCTGTTGATACACCCACAGCCCAAGAGCACAGCAGGCCACTAACTACAGTCACACTTCTGGACTTAGGAGCGTCCCACCCCACCTTCCCTCCCTGTGCCTCTTCTCATGTAGGCCACAGCATGGAACTGAGGCACACTGAGTCAATGTCAAGTGAAATGAAGGCACGTCATCTCTATTCTCAATTAAAAAGCAAACTGAGTTGGATATCTCCTGAAAAAAAAGTCCCTCTGTGGCAACTGATTACTCAACGGCCCCTGGCCAACAAAAGGCTCCTTTCTTTGCCTGCACTAAAAAGTGTCAATATATAGATAAACTGGCTGATCACCAGAAACAGGAGAATCATGGAGTGTGCACTGGACAGAACAGAAATTCTGTCCAACTTTTAGTTGGGGAATCAGCAGGTCCAGAAAGGCTACGGTACACAAAGCCTCAGGTACCGTGTTGACTGATCTGCTAATTCCCATTTCTTTTTACCTGGATTTACATGATTGACATTTCCTCTCCTAGAGTCACCATCTACACGGAAGGGGGTTGTGTCCTTTTGACATACTGGGCCAAGTGGTGGAGTTTAAGTTTAATGTGGATCAACGTAAAGTAGGATACCGATTATAGCTATAAATGATGGGGGAGAGCTAGAGCTTTGTCTCCACTGACGTGTGCAGGTTATCACACATCTCACAATCCCAGCTGTTTTCGTCAAAGACACAGATTTTCCATGACAGTCATCTGGGGTTTTGATAACAGCACCTAGACACAGAACCTGAAACTTTGGTCTGTTCCTTGTATAAATAAATAAATAAATAAAACGCAGTTCTGAGGCCAACACCCAGCTCCAGTTGACAGTCCTCTCCCCAGGGACACAGGCTCCTTCCCCAGACTTCTGTAAACATGGGCACTGGCACAGTTAATGCGAGAGCAGCGGCTTCTGTCTCCACGTGCGGGGAGAAAAGCCTTTCGTTTTTCTGGCCAGGGGTGAATACCGCTTGATGCCATCATCTGGCGGGCAGGCCTTGGCTTGCAGAAGCAGGGAGGTTTCAGGAAACTCCCTGCTAGGATCTCCAGGTTCGTCCTAGCACTTCTTACCTTCATGGCTGGAAACTCTATCTCCAAATTAGAAAAAAACATGCAAATCACCCCTTTAAAGTGATGGTCCCAGGGCCTCGAGCCAGCTGGCCAGAGCTGGGGCTGCAGGACACTTCGGGCCTTGGAGCCAAGGCTCACTGTGTACTGCCCACAACCGGACTGCATGAGAAGGGCGGGAGGTCACCAGGAGGGACTGGTTCCGGCAGTACTTCTGACACGACCCTGGTTCTCAATCACCAGGACCGGCAGAGGGAAGAACTGAGCCCGCTGAGCACCTCACTGCACACATCAGAGAAGGAGGGTGCCTTCAGTGGTGGAAGTTGGATCCACTTCCAGCCTGGAGTGAGCCTCACCTGACTCCCCACTTCGGCCTCACGGCCACTGCACCAGGAAGGCTTCTGTGTGGTTCCTGGCCTTGCCCAGGCCCTGCTCTGGAGGGCGGGTGGAGAGAAAGGACGTGCTGCCACATGGCTTCTGCCTCGGGCCCACGCTGGCAGCGGGAAGCAGGAGCGGCGGGACTGGGGTCTCCAGGGTTGGCTGGCGAGTGAGGGGGCGGGGGCAGCCTAGGAGAGAAGCTCCAAGAGCAGTCTCCAGATATGCACGGTGCCGGGGTCTTCAAAGCCGGGTCCTGCAGGGGCGATGCTGGCTGCCAAGAGGAAAACCTCCCGCTGGCTATCGACAGCCTGCAGGCCCAGCTCCTCCTGCAGCTCCACCATACTCATGGACTCACTCAGGTCCTGGGATGAGACGGAGAAGCCAGTTGGAACAGAGCTCCCAGTTTCCCAGCACCCACACTGTCCTCTATGCAAAGAACTGTTTTTGGCTATCCTGGGGAACACTGGGGCCTAAGTTCCCAGAAGTGGCCTCTGGGCCCCTTGGTCGAAATACTCTTCCTCATCTCTGACTTTCCTTTGTTACCAACCTCTTTTCATACCACCATTAACCACTGTGGTGAGAAAACAGCACCTTCTATAAGCCAGGCATTGTGAGAGGCACTCAGACCTATAGTTTATAAATAGGATGATGATGTAATTCATCATCCAACCCAGGGTACTTCTGAGACTTAAAGTGGGCACTATTAATCATTATACCAGAACAACAGGCATAAATGGGGACCATCCCAGGCAGACCAGGACATATGGTTACATATTTATAAATGATTGTCAAGGATTTCCCGATAGGGGAAACTGGGGCAAAGACGTATAGTTTCTCTCCCAGTCAGGTTGGAAACAAGTGCCATGGTGCTCAGGGACGTGGGCCAGGCCACAGGAAAAATGACAGAACTCCATACTGTGGCAAGGTTCTACCTGGTATTTATCGAGGATGGCACCTTGAGCCTGTGATGCCGAGGGGTGCTGGGCCAAAGGCCCAGGAGAAGTATAGTTTGGTTAAGAGCCGGATCTTTGAGGAAGATCTGAGTTCAAGTCCTGACTTCGCCACACACCAGTCTTAACTTTGGGCACGGAGGGATAATAACAAGGCCTGTCATGGGGTTTTGTAGGATTTAAGTGAGGTCATGATTGTCAGGTGCTTAGCCTGGCACGCTATAAGCACACTTATAAGTGTTATTTATTATTGTTATTTCAACCTGCTCAACTTATCACTTCCCAGCTTTAGCTCTCTGCTCTAGACCTGGAAGTCACAAGGACATGGCAGAGTAGAAAAGGCACAAGTTTTGGAGTCAGACATCCCAATTCCACTGTTTTCAAGGTGTACAACCTTGGGGAGATTACAAAACCTCTCTGAGCTTCAGATTTCCAGTCCGTAAAATGGGAATAGTATCCCATACCTGGTAGGGTCAATTAGAAGCATAATATGAAATGTCATTCAAAACCATACCTCACATGTAGTGGATACTTAATCATTATTTTTCTCATTTCTCCAGGATGATGGGTAACAGGGAGACAAAGGGGAAGGCAGACAGGATGAGGATCAGGGATGAGGAAAAAGCACAGGTAGAAGAGTGGGGGACAGTATCTCAGCCAAGTGCTCCAGATCACAGGCCTGGGTCTGCATCTCTCTCCTGTGCTCCCTGCCCCTGCCCAGGGATCAGTGGATCAAGTCCAACTGGTCTAAGCCAGCCTCCCATGGCCCTCACCTGCTTGTTGGCCACCACAACGACAGGCAGGTCAGGGTCCTTGTCCAGTAGCTTGTGCAGTTCCTGCCGGGCCCAGGGCAGCCGCAGCCGGTCAGCCGAGTCCACCATGAACACCAGCACGTCTACTTCATTCACAAACTCCTTCCAGTAGAAGCGTAGGTTCTGGCTGCCACCGACTGAGGAGAGGCCAGAGGCCAGCTCAGAGCCTCCCTGGGCCCTGGCTCTCTATAAATATCCCCAAGACCACCCCACTTCCAGCTTCCCAAGGTTCCACCAGCCAGGGGCAAGGAAGACCACAGGTCTGGAGCCAATCTGGCTTAGCTTTGGCTCTGACAGCTGGGGCTCCCTGGGCAAGTCACTACCTTCGAGCAGCAGCGTTCTCCCTCTCACTGAACTTACCCACTAACAGGTTGCAGCAAAACCCAAAGGTACCATGTGCAACACACCTTTCATAGACTGGCATACAAGGTGCTCATTTCCTGGGCTACTTCCTGCTAATTCCTAGCTTTCTCCCCGGACAGTGATGGTGTGGTCAGAAGCCAGGACTCCCTGCCCAGCCTGTGCACAGCCATTCTCCATTCAGTGTCTCTTGTTCAGTTTGGTCATCCCATTTTCTTTCCTTGCAAATACTATACTCAGTCCTACTACCACATGGCCGCCCACGTAGTACCCCCAACTTGGGTTGCCTTCTTGTCCCTCTGCACAGTCCCCATCAGCCACACTGTATCCTAGTGTTTCTGGATATACTTCTGACACTTGTGGACTCTATGCTCTTTAAGGAGCTGTTTACATCTGGATCCCCCCAAAGCCCTCAGCACAATGCCTGGCACATAGCAGGCACTCAACAAATATTTACTGAGTGCTTACTAGGTGCCAAGCGCTGATCTGGGTGCTGGGGATACAGAGGTGAGCAAGGCAGACAGGGCCCTGATCTCAAGGAGCTCCCTCTGTAACCAAGACAGACACAGCAATAGCAGGTAAGCACATTTCAGAAAGGAAATAAAAGAGAAAAAGTGAAAACGAATGGGGGTGGCTTTGGATCGGGTGGTCTGAGAAGGTCTCCCTGAGGAGGCAGCATGGGACTTGAGTCTGGGATAATGAGAAGGAGTTAGCTAAGGGAAGAGGCAGAGGAAAGCATTACAAGCAGAGGGAAGAGGAAGCTCAATGTGTCTGAGAAACAGAAGGCAGCCAGTGTGGCCAAGGCAGTGCCAGCGGGAGAGGGGAAAAAGCCACAGCCGGCGAGGTCGGCCAGGGCTTGACAACACGGGGGCTGTCAGGCTACAGTGAGGCCGTTGGGGAGCCCCTTAAAGGTTTTACGCAAGAGCCACATGGGGGCTGACAGTAGGGGACAGAAGTGAAAACAGGAAGACCAGCAAGGAGGCTATTATAGTACTGAGATGATGGTGGTTCAGACCAAACAGGCAGTGGTGAAAGTGGGAAGAAGTGGACAGATGCAAAATCTATTGGAAAATAAAGCTGAAAGAACTAGCTAATAAAATGGACAGGATATAGGAAGTGGGGGAAGGGGGGAGAAGGGAAGAGTCATCAAAGATCCACAAAGGGCTCATCTCGGCTGGGCTCCAGGTGTAGACCATAGCCAAGTGAGTGTTGTGGGAAGGGAGAGTTCCAGTTCCAGGACTTGAATGGGAGATCTGGGTTTGAATCCAGGAGTGAACCTACTGAACCTCAGACTCTTGGGTAATATGAAAACACCAAACCCCTTCTCCCAGGGTTCGGGGTTGGGGGGTACTCTCTCTGCCAGAGTGGGAGTCAAGTGCAGAATCCCACTTGACCCTTTTGCATCCCTGGCACAAGAAAGGGAGACAGGGAAAATATTGTTTAAAGGACCAATTTCCAGGTGAATATCAATGTTTGCCACAATCAGGGAGGAAAGATACAGCCAGGCCCTCAGAGTCTGATCCCACCTAGTGTGTAACCAGTCTTTATCGTCTGAGCCCTTTGGCTGGCAGAAAGTCCACTAATCTCTCCCACCAAGTCTGTAGTTGGGACACAGGTGGCTAAGTACTGCTGTCTTCTCAACAGGCCCTCTGCCAACCTCTCCTGGAATCCCCCTGGGATTGAGGACAGGGGCTGCCCAGACCCTCTCTTATCACTCACTCAACAAGCTCTCCCAGTTACCTGCTTGAGGCTGGGCCCTAGGGGCCAAAGCTGGATCAGACTCATCTTTGCCCCAGATGCCTAGTCAGAAACATAGGCTGGTATGTGGCAAATACCAGCTCAGAGGAAGAGCCCTTAACCTAGCTTAGGAGTCAGATAAGGTTTCATAAGGATATCATGTTTGACCTAAATCTTTTTTTTTAAGAGAGGCATTCTTCATTTTTTTATTTTTTAGTAGGCTTCACACCCAAAGTGGGGCATGAACTCACGACCCTGAGATCAAGTAGATGCTCTACAGACTCGGCCACCCACATGCTCCTGACCTAAATCTTGAAGGAGGTGTAGCAGTTTATCAAGGGAAGAAGGGCTTTCCAGACTGAGGGAACAGTGCAAGCACAGGACAGAAGAAAGAAAACAGCAAGTACCCTTCAGAAACAAGCAATGTAACATGGTGCTTAACATTGAGAGCCTCCAGGGGCACCTGGGTGGCTCAGTTGGTTAAGCATCTGCCTTCGGCTCAGGTCATGATCCCAGGGTCCTGGGATCGAGTCCCACATCGGGCTCTCTGCTCAGTGGGGACCCTGCTTCTCCCTCTGCCTCTCTCTCATTAATAAATAAAATCTTAAAACAAAACATTAAGAGCCTCCAGCCAGAGAGTGTGCATTTGTAGACTGGCAAGGTGGGTGAGCCAGGATAAATTATTTAACTTGCTGGGCCTCCCTTTCCTCATGTATGTAACAAGGGTAATAACTGTTTCCAGTTTTTCGAGTTGTTGGGAGGATTTTATTAAGTAATGCCTGTCAGATGCTTGGCACAGAGGTAACTTTAGCTTTTGGTATCGCAGTATTAGGCATGTGAGCTTCAGTTGGGGTGAGGGACAGGCAGCGACCAAGCTGGAACTGCCCAATCATGAATGGCCCATCATGTCAGAATACAGAGCTTGGACTGTATCCTGTGCCCCAGAAAGGCAGGGGAAGAATGTCATAGAGGGACGTGTCCTGCTTAGATATACATGCTGGAGCCACCCCCAAGCAAAGATTCCCGGCTTGGGTCCAACTGAGGTGATGGGAAGACAGTGTGTGTGTGTGTGGGGGGGGGTCTGCTCACTCTCTAGCAGGTCCACCTCGAAGTCCTTGGTGGGCAGCCGCACAGAGTTGAAGCCCCAGGTGGGGATGTGGCCTTCCAGCGGAGGCTTCCCGGACAGCACGCGCAGGAACGTGCTCTTCCCCGAGCCATCCAGCCCCAGCACCAGCACCTCGCGCTGCTCCAACTCCTCCAGCGCTGGCTCTTCGTCGTCCTCGTCTTCAGGCTGTGGGGCACAGGTCAGGTTGCGGCCGGCACCCTCCCGCCGGAGCCTTCCCAAGGGAGGACCGAAGACACCAAAGCGCCCATCCCCGCCCTCCACCCGTCAACCGGCAGGCAGGCAGTCACGGTCTGGTACAGTGGGACCAGGGCTGCCTCTGGAGTCCTGAATCTCAAACCCCGTTCTTCTGGCTTTTCCTGAGTAAGCTCGGTGAAATTTCTTCCCCTCGCGAAGCCTCAGCCTCCTTAGACTGACAATCCCCACGTCCCAGGGTCCACCCAAGGCGAAAAATTCGCAACCCGCCCGGGGGCCGGGGAAGGGGGCGGAGGCCTCTCCCGACATGCCCCGGGCCGCGGGCTGTGCGCAGTGCACAGGCGCCGGCCGAGCGCGGGCTGGACCCGGCGCGGTCCCGACGGCGCTCCAGGGCCGCGCCCTCGGAGCTCCAGCGCCCACGAGGAAGCCCGGGTCTCGCGGCCGCGCAGGGCGGTGCCACACACCCCCTGAAACGCCCACCCATCCTTCAGTTCCGGGACTCATGACTCCTCCCTTTCGCCAGGGGCCTGCGGGCTGCGGCACCAGGTCCCCTACCCAGGCGCTTCTGCCCTCGCGGGGCGTCACACCCCTCAGCTGCACGTGCGGAGGTCCAGACCCCGGCCCGGCACTCACGTCCCATTCGTCCCACTCAGGGAGGCGGGCAGGCTCCGCGCCCCACCAGGCCTCGCCCCGGTCCCAGCGCCGCTCCCCTCCGCGCCCGAAGTAGGCCTTCCAGAGGATGAAGAGTACTGAGCCCAGCACGGCCGCGGCGCCGCCCAGCGCCAGCACCAAGGGGCTCAGCGGCCGCGGAGCCATCGGGCTGGGCGAGGGGCACGGGTGCGGGCTGCACGGGCCGAACCACCGGGCCCGCGGAAGATGGCCCCGCTGTGACTGCGGTGGCCGCGCCCACCCACCCAAGCCCAACCCCGCACTACAAGCCCCACAATGCACCGCTGCTGTCGCGACAGGCGGCCCACGCCCCGGCGGCGGGAGTGGGGGCGCTGGCCCGAGCGCGGGGACATCCCGCTCCCGCTGCTACGTGCCGTGGGGAGTTGGAGGCTGTGCCTGGGCAGGACGGGAGCCGGTGATATTGGCAACTCCCGAGCCCTTGCTGTATGCTTAGTGGATAGCTGATCAGTGTTCTCGGTTACTCCGTAAAACAGTGTTTCCTAGAATGGAAAGCGGAGGCCCAGGTCGCACCGTAGTGCATTGGTACAGCCGGCACTCAAACCCCAAGCGATGTTTCCTGGGCATCTCAGGACCTCGGGGAACAAATGTGCGGCTGCCCTCAATGTTAAGCACCATGTTACATTGCTTGTTTCTGAAGGGTACTTGCTGTTTTCTTGCTGGAGCCACCCCCAAGCAAAGATTCCCGGCTTGGGTCCAACTGAGGTGATGGGAAGACGGTGTGTGTGTCGCGGGGGGGCGGGATTCTGCTCACTCTCTAGCAGGTCCACCTCGAAGTCCTTGGTGGGCAGCCGCACAGAGTTGCCCGGCAACTGGGCACGGCAATGGGGTGGCAGGTTATGGAATGGCAGAGGTGGAACTGGAACCCGGGTCCCTGACTTTTGGTACTCTACCCTCCCTTGGCTGCTTCCCAGATCGTGCTAATGAAGCAGGCAGGATTAGGGGTCCGTGTTTAGATCTCCTGATCACCTAGTCCTCCGCGACTTCCAGTGGCTGCCAAGGTTTCCAGGTGTAGCAGGAGAAACAGTCTGAGGTACTGTTTCTCTTTTAAGAGGACTCCATGAGGGTCTGCAGAATGAAAAGGTGTTTTTATTGTAAGCAACCCCAAGCCATCTTGTTGACCAGGAGCGTCTCGGGGTTCTTTTCTGGTCATTTGCGGGTAATGCTCAGATCTCTCGTTTCAGGAAACTGCCCTCCCTCACTCGTTACTACCTCTCCTTTTCAGTGCAGTCCTACTTCTGAGTAATGTGCGTTTGCTATTTTTTGCCCAACCCACCCAAGGAAACTTTCACCCGGGTCTCTAACAAATGCTTCCTTGTTAAATCCGTTGGTAACATCTTAGTTCTTATTTTGCTTGACCTCCTTGCACCATTTAACACTGTTAAATGAGCAGAGATGCCGTTCAAAACCTGGCCAGGGTGCCCGCTCACTCCTTGAGGGATCACCTCCCTGGTGAGACAGGCGTGCAAGATTCCCAAAGAGAAAAATAAGCACCAGTGAGTTTATCCAGAACTTTGCAGTCAAAACATTGAAAAAAAAATTTTTTTAAGGGATTTATTCTTGGCATTCATGTAAGGTTTATGTCATTTCAAAAGAGAGCACCTTAATCCCCTGAGAGCTAAAGGCTCCTGGAGGTCTAATTTGGCCTTACCTTACCTTACCTTTCCTGCCTCCTGACACACAGTGGGTGATCATCCTCTTGTCTCTCAGCTGGAGTTCAGTCACCCTGGGTGGTGTCTCTGCCTGAAACTGTCTGTCATTCCACTTGAGGATGTTGACTGGGCCTTTGTCATCTTGGAGTCTGATGTGCTTAGTATAAGAATGAGGCCCAGAGAGATGCCCGGGTGGCTCAGTCAGTTAAGCGTCTGCCTTTGGCCCAGGTCATGATCCGAGGGTCCTAGCATGGGGCTCTCTGCTCAGTGGGGAGCCTGCTTCCCCCTCTGTCTGCCGCTCCCCCTGCTTGTGCTCGCTTTCTAGCTCTCTCTCTTTCTCTGACAAATAAATACATAAATAAAATCTTTTAAAAAGTCCCTTTAAAAAGAATGAGGCCCAGAGTTCACACTTAAATATTTGGAGAATTGGCTCAATTGCACGTGCTCCTCCCTTAGCCTCTATGACACATTCTTTTCTTGATCTTCTCCCTCCTCTCTAACCAATCCTTTTCAGTCTCCTTTTGCCTGGCATTGGCTGCCACTAGCTGAAACTAACTGGACCGTTTGGCAAGGAAACTTTGGAAATGGAATTGTCAGGAGTTAGCCCCCTGTCATACAGAGCAGAGCAGGTGAAGGGTGAGGGATAGAACCATGAGTCAACACGCACATGATCAGCATAGTCCACCCCTTTGCATCCAGTTTTACTCTTATACCCATTTTTAACTTTGTGCTTCCACATACCATGATGCAATATCCATCAGAAAAATAGTCACTCTCCACCTTCTGAAAAAAGAGAAGGCAAAGTCCCATCTGTCAATATATCCATCTCTGGGTGATGTTAATTCCTCTTCAGTAATAACCCCATCTGGATATTCTACAATTAAAGATTAAATTATAGTGGCACCTGGGTGGCTCAGTTGGTTAAGTGTCTGCCTTCGGCTCAGGTCATGATCCCAGGGTCCCGGGATTGAGCCCCACATCGGGCTCCCCGCTATCGGGCTCCCTGCTCAGCGGGGAGCCTTCTTCTCCCTCTCCCTCTCCCTCTGCCTGCTGCTTCCCCTGCTTATGCTTTCTCTCTCTCTCTGTCAAATAAATAAATATAATCTTTTTTAAAAAAGATTAAATTATAAAGATAACCACTGCCACCTTTACTTATACAGTCCAGCTTCCATATTGCTACACAGCAGTCTTTACAAAAGAAAAGCTGGCAATGTCATTTTCAGGTTAAAATTCCTTAGTGGCTTCCCATCTCCACCAGGATAAGTACTACGTGTCTCTGGTGATGGAGCAAGAAGGGAAGCAAGGAACTGGCATTTAATGATCATCTACTATACATCAGGCTTTGTTCTGGTGTAAAATGTACTGCTGTGCAAACATTTGTCTGTCTTCATCTCCTGGGAATTGTTTTCCTAATGACTGCATTAACTGAAAACCTGCCATGTTTATATGACACTTGGCATGAATAATTAGTCCAAGGGTAATGACTTGGATCAGGCTGGACCAAGGAGACCCTTCCATGGGATTCTTAAATTTGGTACCCAACGTCTTGAGATCAATCTGTCTTGGGTGGATTAAGATGTAAAACTTACCACCTCTAGGCAGCCATTTTCCCCACCTATAAAGAAGAAGGCTTGAGGTCAAAGAGGCTGAGGTAGAGCAGGAAAGGCAAAGACAGAAGGCAGAGCTGGAATCCTGGTGCCATTTGCATCCGTGGGTACTAGTTATTCCTAAAGTCCAGGGTATATTTGTGTTCAACCCTTTTGTAACTAACTTATTTACTTCCTCCCTCTCCTCCCCCCTTCCTTCCTTCCTTCCTTCCTTCCTTCCTTCCTTCCTTCCTTCCTTCCTTCCTTCCTTCCTTCTTGTTTCTTTCATCACTATCTGGGAATCACAATATGCCCAATCCACAGGATGCAGCCGCAAACAACATAGCATCCAATGAGGGGATCCGCTTTACAGTGAAAGGTGCAGGAGCGGCTCCTTGACCAAGGGGTCCACTGGTTAAATCGTGCACCCTACTATCCAGGGGTAGCCAGCTTCAGAGAACACTGGCTTATAAGTAAGGCTAAAAGCCTTCTGCTTTTCAGTTATTTATACCTTTGTCATGCCTTTTAGGGAATTTTCTGAACCTGATCTTCATACTTGCTTATTTGGTCCTTGGTTATATCCACTCTGCTATTCACCACAGCCTTTGAGGGCTTTATTTCATATCTGGTTCTACAGTTGGTTCTTTATGATTTCTTGTTTCCCCCTTCCAAAATCCTCTCTTTTCTTTTTTAGAGTAATATTTAAAATGCTGATTTTCAAATAAAAAAAATAAAATGCTTATTTTCATTCATTGTCCTGACAAGTCCATTAACTCTGGTGTGTCTGGATAAGGCAGTCCTGTATGTTGTCTGTTCTCTCGTTGGGTGTGTGGCCCTCAGGCATTCTTATCTGCCCCTGTGAGTTCCTCTTTCCTTGGGGCCAGGACTAAGTGCCTGGGGGCGGTGGCATAGCCCAAGTGTGGTGTATTCCTGGTGAGTTGGGAAGGAGACTCTGGTGTACAGTCTGCACCTCTAGTTGGTGCTGTCCTGAGCAGCCAGCTGCATCCCTGGAGAACCCCTCTGTTCCTCTCTCTGCCCGGGTAAGACTTACTAGAAGCCACCCCCCCGCCCCCGTTGCTATAACTTGGTGCTTAGGGTCCAGGGAGAAGGAAAAGGAGCCATGGAAGAGGCTGCTAAGGTGCCTGCAGGTTCACCCCCACCCAGGTGACCGCCCCCCCTGCCCCCGCCAGTGCCTTCTCAGTCTGTGGTAACAGTGATAGGACTGGCCAAGGTCTGCCCAGGGCAAGGCGTGGAAGAAGAAAGAGTACCTCGGTCCGAAACCTGACAGGGCCTGATTCCCTTCTTGGAGCTCAGTCATCTGCTCTGGGTTTTGCCATTGTCCACACCAAAGCTGACGGTCCCGGGGCTGGTCTCTCTGATTTGCCAGCTTCCCTTTGATTCTCAGGTATCTCCCGATCTGGAGCTGGCTTGTGCTCTCTGCCATCTGGTCAGCTTATCTCCGTCTCATAAAAGAGAAAATAAACTTGAGAGAGGAGGTGGTTTCTTCAAAATCATATAGCGAATAAATGAGGCAGCTACTATTTGAACCAGGTCTGGGTGTCTTGAAAACCATGCTCTTAGTATCTTGTATCTCCCTGTACAGACCCTGGAATCTAGGTCCACTCATTTTATCAAACTTTTCTTCTGAAAAAGAAGGGAAACTCAAGGGATTGGCTTTGAAGTCTCTCACATGTGTCCTCAGTTGGATTTTAGGAGCTTTCATTTTCACAGACGTAGACGAGCTCTTGAGTTGTTCATCATTTTAATTAATCGGCTCTTAATGTTTTTAAATTTAAAATTATTAAATATGTCGGGGTTCCTGGGTGGCTCAGTCGTTAAGCGTCTGCCTTCAGCTCAAGTCATGATCCCAGGGTCCTGGGAGCAAGCCCCGCATCGCATCCGGCTCCCTGCTCAGTGGGAAGCCTGCTTCTCCCTCTCCCACTCCCCCTG